AAGAATTTTTCATAGTTTATAATGTATCAGTCAAATCGAAGCTTTTACATCACCTCGGAGAATGGAGAATACCCCGCGGCATTTAACACCTTTGCTCTCCCAGGAGATGGGAAATCGGTCATCATAGTCTTTCAGGGATGGGGAATTGTGATCCAATGCAGCCATAGCCAAGGTAGCTGAAGCGATTAGCGGGCAAGTGCTGCAGTTTTTTGGCGGAGGTGCCGCATCCCTTACCTGGGCACAAGATTCCTGCCAGCTTCGCAGGCTAATGCAGCCCCAGTTAGGGGACATCCCGGTGGGTTACTCCCTGATTTAATGTGTCGTGTCTGGATGTTTGCACAAGGCAACATCGTGATTTTGGATGATTAACGTAAAAAATGATTGCGGGTTTGTGTGGCGAGTACCCTTTGAAGAGGCTCTCTGTTTGGGAAAAAAGGTAGCCTCCCACGCAGGCGTTTTTAGGGGAGCTCGTTTTTCATCCCTCCCCACAAGGGAGGGATGAAAAACAAGCTCCTCTAAAAACGCCCGCGTGGAAGGCTAAAGGAAAGGGTGAAAAAATCACGAGGAGAAGGAAGGGAAAGGGTGAGAGCATGTGTCTTGTAATTGCCGATCATCTGTCAGCAAGATCTGTATCTGTCAGTTGGATATGTTGTGGTTCAATTTTATCCTTGGTTTAATTTTTATTTCCCTTTGTTTCAAACTCATTATCATATATTACCATGCCCAAAAACAAAGGGAAATAAAAATTAAACCAAAGATAAAATTGAACCACAACAGATACACCGGAATGTAATCAATTTCGCGTGTAAAAAAGGGGGTCGGTAGGCAACAAACAACTTTTACCTTTTTCTCTGGCGGGTAGATTATGCTCTGGAAGGTTTAGTTTTAAATGTGATTTTTGCCGTTTAATTCATAGTAAGAGGTCGTCACTCGCATATTGATTTTCCACGGTTGTTGTTTCTCGTCGGCTTGATTAGTTATTCCTCGAATGCAAAAACATTTATTGGGGTTAAAAAAGCTCATCAGTCAAGCGCCAGAAGAAGCCATGTTAAAGATCAGGAGACCTGTTTAAAAGCGATTATTTAAACCAAATCGCGTGTACGTGCCGACCAAAAAAGCGATGTAAATCAAACATGGCAACAGTCAGTGTTCTCGCCAACGGGAGCTTGCATCAGGATCTGATGCACAGCGGGTGCCGTGGAACGACAGTCCCAAATGTTTGTCTACAGGCTCTCACCCTCTCCCTTCCCTCTCCTGATGATTTTTTCACCCTTTCCCCAAACAGAGAGCCTGTTTACAGGCTATGTGGAGAGTTGGCGAAAAAATGAAGGATTACACAAGGAAATCTAAAATTTAACCGTCGCCCGGCTAGCTCAGTTGGATATGTGCCGGTCTGTCGAGCGGGAGGCCGCTGGTTCAAGTCCCGGCCGGACCAACACTCAGGGTCTTTAAATACCTGAGGAGAAAGTGCTACCTCTGTAATGACATCTGCAAATGGTTAGACTTTCTAGTCTTCTCGGATAAGGACGATAAACCGTGGGACCCGTCTCACAACCCTTGCATATATAAATTCGATTCTGTGGGACGTTAAAGAACCCACACACTGTTCGTGAAGAGTAGGGGACGTAGTCCCCCGTGTGATGGTCTATCTCTCATGGGGGGAGGGACTGTCACGGGCCCGCAGTAATTGACGTCATGCTGTTGCGGTGACCCTGCCAATAATTGGCGAATCTAATAAAATAAAATCTATTTTCAGAATCAGCTACGAGCCCATAAGCTACAATTTGAAAAAGAATGACCACTTTATGGTCACTATTTTTTAAAAACACTAAGGTGGGGTCATTGGATCACCTAAATTGGACCTTTAATGGGGCATTTGAACCGCTTTTTTATTGGGAAGAGGGGAATTTAAAAACACTGACTTTCCGAAAATTCAAATGCCCAGCGATTGATATTAAAGCTTCGATTGCACCAATAAAAAACTGGTGGGTAAAAGTACATTCTATCAAAACGATCACTGTGATACCCATTAAGATTGTTTTAACGTTAGTTTTAATTATAATTGTACAAATCACTCCCAAGATATTTCACGGCCTTTAAAATAATTCACTTTTCATAAACAGTGCAAAATACATTCTTCTTTCTACCAAGAGACTTAGCAGCCATAAGTCAATCAGTTGGAAGCGCAAAAATAAAGCAATGAACTAGAATATTTTACATCTTTTTAATACAAAAAAAGAGCTCAGAAAACGTAAGAAATAAACTTAAGACAATTATTATTAAACCGGATAAAACCAAATTCAAATCATAATTGTTTTATTCAAAAGTTGTGTTTATCATAAGAAAGTCTCATGAGTAGCACAACATCAACTGAAGCATCCTCATTCGTAAGCGTCTTTACATTTACAGTTCACAAAAATACTTCCTCTACAATATATTATTGGCTTCTTCATAAAATAATTCCAGCCAGATTCGCTTGGTATATTGTTGGTATATGTACATGGATCAATAATTTAATCTGCGTAATTAAATATGAAATCACATGGTTTGTACATATAAACTAGTACTTCTGAAATCATCAATTTTTTTTTCAATACAATATTCATTAGCGCTACATGTACTAAGACCTATACTAGTTTTTCTTTGCTATTCCTTGTTAGTCGCAATTAAAACTTTTAGGTTTCTGTCAGGCAACTCTATGTCGTGCAGATGACAAGGAAGTCCTTTGCAGCTTGATTAAAAATGGCTCACATCAGATGAACTATTCGTCACAGCGTCATTTGGATCCATACTGCTACCAGGATTAAAATAGACAATGGAAATGAAACAAATTGTCAACTAGGACAGACATTACGATTATATATCATACTTCAATTAACTAGATACATTGAATTAAAAACTTGTACTCGTACACAAACTGGAGCCAAGTCGTTCTATAATTCATTCGATTCAACGTTAGGTTTGTGTCGAAATAGCAGTTGTAAGTTGCACCATATTTAGTACCATAGTTGTACAAAGACTACTATTTTGACGTTTTTAATAGTTAACAGGTTTTTTTTGGAAGTTATTCTTTTGTCATTTACATTTCATGGCCTGTCTGTATAAGCAAATCCCCTGCGGTTCCCGCTCAGACGAGCTCTTTCTATTCTTTCGATTAAGGGCCTGTTTACATGGAGTGGAGGACCCCAGTCTAGTGGGGTGGTTTCTTTTGTTTTCACGCTCTGGAGGACACAAAACAAAAGAAACCTACCCCACTAAACCGGGGTCCCCCACTCCATGTAAACAGGGTCTACGCGCTTCACTGAACGTCTTCATAACTTCCCCTTTTACTTCACTGATCTTCTGAAAACACGCCGAAATTTGGCACCAGAATTTTGCACGCTTTTCAGCATTGTCTAAAACAACTTGCTGGCTAAGCAAATGTCCAAACACTACTTGTCATGGACGATGCATTCTATTCTGCACTATTCTGCTTAACTATGAAAAGCAAGTAACTACCATTGCTTTTTAGGTTTCAAAGTTGGAAACCTACGTTCAAAGAGACTGCCAAATTGAAATTTCAATGGAAAAGAGGCCGTTTTCATAACAGATACAGCCGGCTGTAGCTCACCTTTTTTCCCGGTCGTCGTTCTCTTCTGGGAGCGTGACAGTAGGAGGGGGTGCGGGAGGGGGCGGTGGTGGAACTGGCGATGTTTTGTTTCCATTCAAACCTGTAGGCGAGATCGTTACTGTTAGTGTACTCGGCTGGTTATCTATGAAAGGCAAATCAGTTAAGTGGATAAGTAACAAAACAGGAATCAAGAAAGAATCATTATACTACCATACCATCTACAAAACACTGCAATACATCCCTCCCCTACGTGCTGAAGCAATTTCCCTATTTTAGATTTCTGCAATACATTTTTTTCTCTTGTCCGTGTTTTAGCCCGAACATTCCAAAGGATACGAATAACAGCAGTACTGATAAAAACTACAGAATCCGCACTGCAAGAGTATGGGCTTTTCAAGTTTTTCAACGTTTATTTTTTAATTCTTTCTTTTGGTTTGATCTAGCTTATCGTTCATGTGATCTCCCAACACGTTACTATTGTAAAGTGTCGTATACAGGCGATGGGTCCAGGTCCCCAACAACTTCATTCCGTTAACTACGTTGACATAGCATCGTATGAGCAGTTCAGTAAGAGTGTGAAGTGTCTTTCTCTTTTTTGTTTTTTTTTCTGAGCTGCATTACTGATGTACTGAGCAGTTGTGTTCAGTAGGGTTGGACCTAAAACAGCACGTGACCTAGCCCCTGATTCACTGCACCTTGGAGTTACTGACCTGATATCTCTGGAGTATCTGAAGACGATGTCTGCTCATTTTCAGCTTTGCTATCCACATCAGCGTAGTCTGGTGGAGGTAGGTGCAGAGTATCAGGTCCCGTACTAGAATAACGCTTCAGTGACTTATGGCTTATGCTGGTCTCTAGTGGAGGGCGAGGGTGAACTCCGCCAGCTGGAAGAGTGTGACTTACTGTAGGACTGTGGGAAAGAAGACGCAAAAAACACTTTTTATCTGCAAAAATTGCAATTTTATTGTCAAAATATCAAGTATGTATAAAATTGAAGGCAACTGAAGAAAACTTTTGCCATTCTCTTTGTAAAGAGCTGCCTCTTGAAGTTTCGTTTCCATTGCCATAACTGTGCCAAAGCGGTTCACAGTGACTATTGCCGGCCAAAATTCAAGGCCCTAATTTCCTCAAAAATAAAGCGCTAACATCATAACGAAACTACTGTAATGTTCTTTGATTGAATAGCCTTTCTCCATTTACCAGTCCAGTTATAGCACACATAATTACACGAAGTGGCCTCTCTCCCAATACAAATCACTGAATTTTCTCAACGAAGGTATTAATTTTTGGCGCCTTTGTTCAATGGAATATACAGGGAAGGGTCTTTTGACAAATACATGAATAAATCCAAGCTGTTTTGAACCAAAGATTTAACTAAGCCTTTCCAAAATCCACGTGCATGATGCTGAAAACTCACCCAGTTGAAACAGCAATGACCTGTTCAGTGTAAGCAGCAGGAAACCAACCAGATCTGATAAACAACATGACGATAGTAGAAATGATTTTCACACAACCTTGTTCCCACTGAAGCGGGAAAGAGAGAGAAAGGAGGGGGAGGGGGGAGGGGGGTCTGGGCTCTCCGGGGGCCGAGTAGTAGGTAACAGAATAATATCATTATTCTCTTTACCCTTCACCGTGATTTTGCTCGTCCACGCTCCATATCTGCTTAGTGTTGGTATTTCTTTGGTGTTCTACAGTTTTAAGTGGTTATTTTGATATCTTATGTCTCCCATGGCCAGTGATATAAGTACATAAACAGCTAGCTCTTTTGAATTTCTTCCTTGAATGAACAGTACATCAGATTATATTGAAAATGACTTTGTTGTTCCAGAGCCGGTTTAATAGCAAGACTATTAGTATACAACATCTTATCTTGAATCACATCTGAGTCAGTGAGGGAGTTGTCGGAGTACAGTTTAAGGGCTAGCAAAACACTGAAATCATTACGTACTTGCTAGTTTTCAAGTTCTCTCCATACTGCCAACCCGACACAACTTCACTGATGGGATGTATCAGATCACCCTGTGTGATAAGATATACAGTATAATTATATAGTAGATATAGTACAACCTTTTATATCCTGAAGTTCTGTGGACTTGAGGTTGTTTGAAAGGCAGTGTTTTTATGTCACTCTCTGACACTGGACTTGACTTGGTTAAAAATTCAGTGTTTAACTCACTGGGACCATGAATAAGTGTCCACTTATCAAAGTTGTCTGGAGGTTCACCTGTACTTCTAAACAGGGACATCAGCACTCATGCACGTGTGTGCATCACTGTAATATTTCAGTATAAAAATAGTATCTTCACATCTAATTTCAATGATAAAGAATTATGCGGAACATTGTCAGTAGATTCTTTACAGGGTGGTATGATGGGCACATTGCACAATCTGGAGCCCCATACTGGGTTCAAGTCCCACTCTAGCCTTAAGCTGGATTTATTTGTTTCAATCTTTGGCCACATCAGTTAGGGTTTTAAACCTTGTTACATTTCATTTTGATTATTTTTTTTCATCACTTAAGTGGTTTGCTGTGAACTTGCTGATGAAACAATAAATATACTTCTACTTATAAACAAAGCCTTTACCTTGGCCTTTTTTTTAAGTAATAAAGCTACTACATCATATTTTTGCAAGAATTTTTACTAATCAAAGACACTACCACCTAACTATCAACACACAGCTGTTGCAACAGTTTTACTTACCTCTTTAAAACTAAGTTGTGATGGTTCTACAGCAGTGTGGATAAACTTTGCTCTCAGTTCTACCCTGTAAATTTAATACAGTTGAACAACACATAAGCTACAACACAAATGCAAAGATTTAGTGGTTGCTTATGGATGGTTGTCATTTAGGAGAATCAAACCACAGGGGCCGTCCTTCCAAGAGGAGCTGAGGTCCTGATCCAGTCTACTTTCTCGCAGAGCATTTATTGCATTCAGTTAAGTATATATGTAGTTGCATGTTGTCACCTAAAATAATTTGTATATTGATTGAAGTTCTATGACTCTGACTAGAAAAATTTTGGTGTTTTGGATACGTAGTCTCTTATGGAAGGTGGTCACTTCTGAGAAGTGATCACAAATGGAGGTTTGACTATAAATGCACATTTAGGAAATTGAAAATATGAGGCTGCCATAAACATTTGAAAAAAAATAATTTAACACATAACTCCAGGTTAAAGTATATCATTTTAAAGTGCATGTGTATTGCGAAAACCCTAAGAACCAATAGAAAAAATTAAAGATTTCATAATGCATTACTCAAACACCAGTTAGACTGATTTAAAACAAAGTTGAACTTGACTACACATACTTGTTACTTCTCCCCAAATTTTCCATCTCTGCATTCATGACAGATCCATTAATCTAAAAATGAAATCAAAGCAGTAATTCAACTCGCATTCATACAGGGCAAAGCTTCACTTTGCAGCACATCATAGAGAAGACACCTTATAAGAGCCAGAGGCCAGGGTTTCCCCCCAGATACCACAAATGTGGCCCCCGGCTACTTTCATAGCAAAATAGAAGAAAAATAGAACCAAAAGAAACCCGTAGCTGTTTGATTACCCACCCAAGTGTTGTATTTACCCTGCAACTTGAAATCTTAAGCCTGGTTTTCACTAGTGCATTATAAGCATAAGCACAAGAAAAATGGACAGGTTTATTCTTCTTGTGCTTCTGGTTATGCTGATGTCATAGCTTGACTTGTGAAAACAGGGTCAACATAAGCACAAGCATAAGCACAAGGCCGTGGGCCAATCCTAGGCCACTTTGACCCAGACCTTATTCGAACATATCAAAAGCAATATGCCAGACAAAGCATCCGCCATCTTGTTAACCATTGGGTTGAGGAGAGCTGGTATCAAGAATTGAGTCAAATGTAGGTATGACCCTATGCTTATGCTTATGCACTAGTGAAAACCAGGCTTTAGTGACATTCTGATCCGGTATTGGCTTTATTATTTTGACTTTCAGAGCATAATGATTTCATATACATACATGTACAGTATGTTCATATTCCAATATCGCAATGCAATTGTTTGGAATCTCAACGCAGATGTTTACCTGGAAATCAGCTGAGTCACCTTTCCTTTTAACATGAGAGAACCACATAGGAACTTTTTCCCTTAGTATCTGGGAATTCTGAAAAATTATTATTCATTAAAAATAATATTAAATTACTGTAGTAAATTACAAAATAAGATGGAATACGTTAGGAAATTGAGTAGTTTTAATTTTCAGTGGACAAAAACCTTGTGCTAATTTCAAGCATATTGCATTCTTTTTTACACCTTTTGCAGGCTATAAAATTAATGTAACAAGTTATAAGAAATAACTCCAAAGATAAGGTTCTTATGGGAGCCCGAGAAAACAAACTTCAAAAGCGTCACAAATACATGTAAATGAAATCTTATGCATGACAATTTTACCTGTGTTTTCTCAATTCCTATGAAATCTGAACTAAAAAAACTGATAACTACATTTATAAAGTCTTTGAAAAGTGTAAAAAAGATTTGTGATATGGCTTAAAATATTCTGTTACAAGGTTTTTGTCCACTCGAAATTAAAATTACTCATTTTCCTGATGGATTCCATCTTAATAAGTATTTCATAATAAGCAGAATATAGTCCAGTTCACAACATTACAAATGTTTAATTGATTCCATATTCTACCATTGTTGACATACTGAGGCTACAAAAATTATAATTGGCAGTAAAGAACATACAGTGCAAGTGCTTAATATCAAAATGTTCTAGTGTGGCAAGACTGACTGCGTGCCTCCACACTTCAAACAAGAAATACTTACATGTTCGCAGAATTCCATAGTACTCTTAGCAACTATACTTGTTCTATCCAACACAAGACAATATCTCTTCTTTTCTTCAGCCATTGCCTGAGTAAAAAAATTAATCAATATTAACCCTTTTGACAATAGATGGGTGTGGGAAAGGTACCTAGTGAAAGTGTGAAGGGAGCTGTAATTGAGCCTGGAAGGCAGAAGTGACGGCAGACGTGACAACCTTGTAAGCTCCACCCAGCAGGCACCATCACACTGAAAACCTCAGTGGAGAAATGTGCAGATATTTACCACAAAAACATCCAGAGGAAAATGAGAGCTGGGAAGAAAAGTAGCGAAATCCACTGCAGGTGAAAGGAACATTCGGGGAGTGAAATGATTGACCTCAGCGAAAGCGCTGTAAAACTGTAGGCTGCTGTAGGTAATATTAAGGAAACAACACAATTATATACCTTTCTGCAACTTGTAAGCCGAAATTCATGAAGTTCTTTTTGACAAGACGCTACCTGTTCTTCACACTTTAAAACCAAACAAAGAAAGAAAGAAAATAAAAAAGACCAGGAACACGTACATGTAGATATAACATTGAAGTGATTTTAATAAATGTCACCTAATTTTATTATTTTCCTGGACTGTAGTGAGATAAAATGGAAATTAGTTGAGACAAATGAAGAAATTCAAATAAAAATTCAGACAATTCTATTCTCGACTGAGAGCAGATTATTAGTTTTACAATACTCGCAGCGGCTAGCCTACAGGTATGCATGATTACCATTTGATTACAATTCAAAATAAAATACCGTAAAATTCCGAAAATAAGCCCCTCCATGCATAAGCCCCTCCAAATATACGCCCCCCAATCTGGTAACGCAAAAAACCCTCCGTTAAATCACCCCTCCAAATATAAGCCCCCCGGGGACTTGTACTTGGAAAATTGCCCTCAAATACAAAGTAAAACAAAGCAAAAATGTTAAATTTACTCCCAACTATAAGGCTAGCCCAATCAATTTTGAAATGCAAATTTCCTTCCATAGATAAGCCCCTCTGAATATAAGCCCCTCAAAGAGGGCTTTTGAAAAATATAAGCCCTGGGGCTTATTTTCGGAATTTTACGGTACTTTATTGACATCTCTTATTATAGGGTTTTTCAGTGACAATTTGCGCACGCATTATTAGTTTATTTATTTCATTGACGTGTACATTTAGTTCGTTAATTAACGTCTTTAATAATTTTACTTTGCATTATTTTCCTCACTTATACATGTTGTCCGTTACTGTGCTCACATGGTGGGTGGCTCCTCCTAAAACGTTCTGTAATTATTGGTGTAGGATTTAATGGAGCCAAAACCAATTGTGGAATTGCACGCACTTTAGGCATCCTACTGATGAACAGTTGCGACAAGCAGATATATATTTTTTAGCAACTACTATAATTTGCAGTCTGTCCACTTTGAATTGAAATAAAAGTTAAAATAGTATTTGAATAAAATCTTAGCAGTGAACATCAAAATACTTTATTTTACCTGTTTCTCTTTATCTTCATATTTTTCTGTTGGCTTTTTTCTTTGACTTTTTTTTCTAACCTTCAA